GAATTCACAGAGATCCGCCTGCCTCTGCCTCCTGCGTGCTGGGACTAAAGGCGTGCGCCACCACCACCCGGCATGGCTGTCACTTGTAAGTGCTCACATTCTTTGGTTCATAGTACCTTCAGGAGCTGTACTTTGTGTGAGAATATTCATTGTATACATTTATCTGGCAGTGGATTTACCATTATCATGAAGATGGTTTTCCTAGGGTGAGGCTTATCTACTTCATTCAGGATGTGCTGACCTCTTGGATTGCCTCAAACGTAGGAAACTCAGCTGAATAATTTGTGGTAGTAGGGGACTGTATTCACACTCTCCCCTGCAAAAAAAAAAAAAGAAAGAAAGAAAAAGTATTCATTACAGTACTGTTTGAAGCAACAGTCTATGACGTGCCCTGTGTCTGACTCCACTTCTGTGTGTGTGTGCAGTGGAGTGGCTAAGAGGGTTGCTTCCAGAGAGGGGAGCTTGGAGTTGATAGCTGCCACTTCAGTGTATGTCTTTTTAATGCTTTCCTAGCATGTGCCTACATTGGTTTTCAAACAGAAAATTTTGCCATAGATAGTCAGCATCAATGATGAAAACATGTTGGATGCTAGACCATTGTGCTACCCCTTTGAGGGTGGTCTGCCTCTTTCACATAGCACTTAGATTCTACTGGGCTTTCAGTTATTTAAAACCTACTGGGCCAGTAAGAAGCTCTGCAGGTAGAGGCAGTTGCCTCCAACCTCAAGTCCTGGGTTTGGTTTCAGGAAGCTAGAGTTCCGGGTAAGCTCCTAAAATGTACTAACCTTCTGTTTTGGCTTCTATAGTTACGCTTCTGGCTAACTGAAGTATGTCAACCCAGGTGTGTTGTAGGAGGGAGGACTCGAGTGGTAAATACCCAGTATAGTCACCGGCTGGCTAATAGTTTCTGTTGGCATGCCTCTGTGTCTGAGTTGTCTTCTCTGTGGCCCTGGAACTCAGTCATCTGCCTGCTCTGCCTCCTGGGAGTTGCTTAGAGGCACTCACCACCACAGCCAGCAAAATCCCCTACTTTTCAGACAGGGTATGAGCTCAGTTGGTAGAGCCCTTGCATAACATGTGTCAGATTCAAACACCAGCTTTATCAAGTTTTATATAAAGAGATGGAAAGTTTGTAAATGTGACCCTCACATCACTTTTTTGACTCATTCATGCCTGAGGTTTATCTCCCAGGTTGGAGAGGAGGGTAGAAGATACATCGGGGAAGTGGAAGGAGCCCTTCTAAAATCTGTGTAGTAGAACTGTTGCTGATTCATGTGTTACCCTGCCCTTGTGAGTGCAGTGATTAACTCTAAGCCCTTTGTTTAAATATCTACTTTTGCTCCATGTTTAGAAGTGCTCGCCATGTGTTAACAGTAGACATGATGGATTATATATTTAGTGTACTAGTTTTGTTTAATAAAGTACTTGGCTAGTAAGTCTGTTTTGTCCTTTGGGTAGGTTCAGAAGAAAAGTAGTTGACTCATGCCCAAGGAAATACCATAATGTTTAAGAAAGGAGAATTGGAAGCATAACGGTGAGGGAACCACTCATATTTTTCACTGCTTGTTTCATGAATCATGAATTTTCCTGCATATTTATCTAAAAAAAAAAAAAACATGAAGACCAAATTACAGGGTGGGGAGAGAGAATAAACAGAGGCCTAAAACAGTCTCAAGTGCCCACTTGGCTGTCAGTGTTTCTGAGTGACTAGTATAATTCCCTCTATATGAACAGTGACTAAGAATTTGCAGGTATCCGGAAAAATGTAAACCAGAGTGCCAAGAGCAGCAGCCTCTGGATTGCCAACTTTTTCTTTCATTAAGTTTGCTGCCACAAATAGTACAGCAGGAAACAAATTCACTAGTATTTCCTGTGGGACTGCAGGGCATAAATTGGTAGTGTCCGTGTACACAGGGTCTACCACTTTAAGACTGTCCCACACACTACAGTCATTACTATGTGTATACTTAACATGCATTACAGCAAGGTTTGTTGAAGGAAAAAGATCAGATGCCCATAATCAATAGCTGTTAACCGGCATATCTCTATTATCATGCAAGTATTCAAAGTATAAGGTGGATCTGTATAGATGCAGAGGCCCATGCTACACTGTTGAGGTAACAAGCAAGTTTACTAGGCATGGGTATATGCTTATATTCCCAGCATTTGGGGAGGCAGGGAGAAGAGGCAGGAGTATCAATGAGTTCAAGGCAAGCCTGGGCTACGTATTGAAAAAAGCAAGTTCAAGTCATTGATACATGTAATCACCTGAATGGATCACAAGGGAAATAAACTACATTAAAAAAAAAAGCCAATATAAACTATTCTTATAGACCCTTCTTCAAATAACAAAGACATAGAGATGGAACAGAAGCAGGGGAGTCAGAGGTTGTTACAGAGAGCATGGAAGACCCTGAGGTAAAGGAACCATGGTTACAAACAACTGCATAGACCTGTACACACATGGGTGCATTGTGGTGATATTTTGTTTATGATTTAACAATGCTTGCCTGAAGATCAGAGTGCAGAGCTAGCCACACTAGTTAGCCATAGAGGCCAGGCAGTGGGGGCACACACCTTTAATCCCAGGAGACAGAAGCGGATGGATCTGTTAGTTCCAAGACCACCCTGGGCTACACAAAATTGATTCAGTTTAAAAGAGAAACAGAGGTCACACAAAGGTGATCCCAGGAAGACATATGGCTGGGCAGAGAGAGGAAGTAAGGTGGGAGGAGATGAGACATGCAGTCTGAGGACAGGATCGACCCTTTGGTCTAAGAGTGGCTGGCCCCTTTGCTTGTCTGATCTTTAGCATTAACCCCAATATCTGACTCTGAGTTTTTATTAAGAACAATTAGAATTCATGCAACAGTGCATATAAAATAAGGAAGTCTAGCAGGGCATTGTTGGCACACACCTTTAATCCCAGCACTTGGGAGGCAGAGCTAGTTCCAGGACAGCCTCCATAGCTACACAGAGAAACCCTGACTCAAAAAACCAAAACAAAAAACAAAAAAACAAAGTCTAGGTAAGTTCTATAGATCATACTAATGTCAATTTCTAGATGTTGTTTATTGGAGTTTTGTTTTTCAAGGCAGGGTTTCTCTTTGTAGACCTGGCTATTCTGGAACTCGCTTTATAGACCAGGCTGGCCTTAAATCTCACAGAGTTCCACCTGCCTCTGCCTCCAGAGTGCTGGGATCACTACCATCAGGCAATTTCTAGGTTTTTGTTATGGTTAGAGAAAAAATGTTACCACTGAGGGACATTGGGTGGTAGTTACAATGGACTTAGACTTTTTCCTTTTTTGGTCAGCTTTCTATGAAGTCTCCAATTCAAAATAAAAAATTAAAAAGGAGTACTGGGCATGGCAGTACACACCTTTGCTCCCTGCACCCAGGAGGCAGATAGGTGGACATTTAAGTTTGAAGCCAGCCTGGTATACATATCAAGTTCCAGGCCAGCCCTGACTACAAAGTGAGATCCTATCTTTAAAAAGAAAGAAAAAATCCCAAGTCACTGTGCCATCTGTAGACCCAGCTACTCAGGAGACTGAATCAGGCAGATCAATTCCACCCAGAAGTTCAACAACCTAAGCAGCATGGCAAAAAAAGTTGTGAGGGTTTTATGTTAAACAAAAAATCTTGCACTCAGTTTGTCTTCATCATTTAGTATGGGCAGGAGTTCCAGGCAATATAGGAGGTAGGCTCCCAAAAATACTCTTTTCTTTTGATAAGTGGTCTCGTGTATCTCAGGCTGGCCTCAAACTTGCTACACGGTCGACTATGACCTTGCACTTCTCATATGCCTTCACCCACAGAATGCTGGGATTGTAGGCATGCCTCACCATACCCAGTTTATTCTGTGCTGGGGATTAAACATTTATCCTAGACCAGTGGTTCTTAACCTTCCTAATGCTGAGAGCCTTTAATACAGTTCCTCATGTTGTGCTGCCCCCCAACCATGCATTTTCATTGCATGTTTATAACTGTAATTTTACTACGGTCACGAATCGTAAATATGTCTTTTGCTAGTCTTAGGTGACCCTTGTGAAAAGATCATTTAACAACATCCCCCTCCCCTACAGGTACCGCTCTAGATAAAAATTAAAGTCTAGTCTACATAGGGAGATCCATCTCCAAAACAAAAATAAACCCCACATTTCTTAGTAGAGCATGGAGCCAATGCCTGTAATTCCAGCACTTGGGAATAGAAAGGGCCACCAAAAATGAGGTCAGCAAACAAAACAATTCCAACCCCAAATCCCCCAAAAAACTCAGATCAGAAATTATGCACATGTAGCAAGGTGAAAGCCCCAAATGTTCTTTCTTTTGGCTTTCTGACGCTGGGCATTACTGAGTATGGCAGCAAAGATTTTTCTCCCTCTCCCTCCCAAGTGTGAGGATTACAAGCGTGAGCCAAATGCCTGAGAGCCCCAAACATTCTTTATAAAACAACTAGTAATCGTGTTTGTTTTAATAGGATTCTGGTCGAAGTGGGAGGGGGGGTGCGCCACAGTTTATAAATTACATTTTTTTTTTCAGCTCCAGGACCAGGTAAGAGAACAGTCTGGTATCCATAAGGGTAAAGATGACGGCTCCAGGTTAGGACCATTTCTTCGTGACGTTGAGATGGGCTAGCTGGTCGGCAACGTATCTGTGCTTGGGGAACTTGGAAGTGGCGGCTGCCTTGATGGCCTCAAAAGCCTGGGCCCTGCGCTCCGCGGCGTGGCCGAACTCCTGCTCGGCGGTCATGTAGGGCATGCTCAGCCAGTAGTGGTTCTCGGCCTCCACCTCCAGGCGCCGGAGCATGTTCTCCTTCATCCGGAAAGTCACGTTCCGCGGCCGCCGGTGCTTCCCGATCCACTGCCGGCCCGGAATGCGACCGCGGAGGAGGGCAGAGGTGAGGAACATGGTGCCTCCTGGGGAAACGACACGGAAGCCGAAGTCGCTGAGACCCTGGGCCGGGCAGCGAGCAGCAAGCGTCCCGCGCCCACGGGGCCGACGAGCCTCCCAGAGAACCCACCAGGCCCGCGAACCAACTCACGAGCCTCTCGCCGCGGCCTCCCTCAGACGCCGACCGACGCGAGCGCGCGCGTCTCTTACCGAGCTAGCCGGGGCCCTGGTGCGAGACTTCGGCTCTCGCGAGAGAAGTCTTCTGCGCCTGCGCGGAGCGAGGGCCTCGTCCCGGCGGCAAGATTCAAATGAGTGGCGCGTTTGAGGGTGGGCGTGAAGAAGGTCTGCCTTTGGCTCCGCTCCCCTCAGCATGAACCCGATCCAGAGTTTCCACTGTAAGCTGCAGGGTCTGGCCGCCGTGCTGAACCACGAGACGGCCTGGCTGCTGCGAGCGACAAGGAAGAGTCAGGATGTGAGTACAAAGTCAGTGACTCAACCTTGGAGTTGGATGTGTGTGAAGACCTTCAGAAGCCTGGTGTGGAGGTTGATCTGTCCGATCCATGTGTTCCAAGCAGTTCTGTTTCTGTCAACATCATCCACCCTAGTCTGTTCGAAAATGCACTAACCGCTGTTCTGTCTGTGTGGAGTTGAAGCAAACATCTGCATTTTCTCCAGTAATGCTATATTTCCAGTAAAAATACTAACCACCGCTGTTTTGTTTTGTAACTAAATAAAATTCACCACCATTCTTACTCCTATTAGAGATTTAAAAAAAAAAAAAGTTTCAGGGCCGAGAGTAGTGGCGCACGCCTTGAATTGCAGCAGAAGCAGGCGGGCTTTTGTGAGTTCCAGGCCAGCCTGTTTTCCATAGGGAGCTCCAGACTGACCAGGCTACCATAGTGAGATCTTAAATATCATAATTTTAATGTATCTTAAATAATATTGCACCCTGTAGACACAGATTCCTCTTACTTATGACTAACTCCATTTAGAAGTGTTTAATGCCCTGTAGGAAACCTCAAATACAGAAAAGTAAAAAGAATATACATATTTTCTATTTAACTCATAAGATACCACTTACTGTTTTAGCGTTTCTGCCATTCTTATTTTAGGGGTTTAAAATGTGCTTTATTTGTTTTTTAGTTAATGCAGAATAATAGACTAAAGTGTATTAGATTTTTGACCCTATGAAAATTGCTTTTCACATAGTGAAAATAAGTCTACATTTTTTTGTTTTGGTTTGGTTTTGGTTTTTTTCGAGACAGGGTTTCTCTGTGGCTTTGGAGGCTGTCCTGGAACTAGCTCTTTGTAGACCAGGATGGTCTCAAACTCACAGAGGTCCGCCTGCCTCTGCCTCCAGATTGCTGGGACTAAAGGCTTGCGCCACCACTGCCCGGCTAAGTCTACATTCTTACCAAAGCATTACCTCTGCACAAGCTTCATTTGCTTTTTACATAAAAAAATTGCAATATTTTAATTATTATGCTAAAAACACAGGCGATAATTGCCAGCAGTTGTACTTTTTATGACTTTGCAGGCTAATTTTATGTCAGCTTGACACAAGCTAGAGTCATCTGAGAGGAGGGAGCCCCAGCTGAGAAAATGCTGCCATGAGACTGGGTTGTAGGCAAGCCTGAAGGGCATTTTCTTAATTAGTAATTGATGTGGGAAGCCATTCCATTCCAAGCCCCTTGTGGCTTGGGTCATCCCTGGGCTGGTGGTCATGGTTCCATAAAAGCAGGCTGAGCAAGCCACTGAGCAGTACTCCTCCATGGCTTCTGTGTCAGCTCCTGCATCCAGGCTCCTCCTCTGTGTGAGTTCCTGTCCTGACTTCCTTCAATGCTGGATTACGACGTGGAAGTATAAGACAAATATAAATCCCTTTCCCCCAAGTTTTGGTCATGGTGTTCCAGTGCAGCAACAGAAACCCTAACTAAGACAGTGACTATAGTGATAAATCATTAAATGGACTTAAAAGTTAGCTTTGAGATAATTTACATACAGTAAAACTCTGGAGAAAGCATTTCATTGGTTCTTAGTGTAGTCAGTTATGCAGCAGTCAGTACAGAAGATTTAGATTGTAATAACTTCCAAAAGATAATTTCCTGAAACTTGGTTAGGTAAGCCTTGCTTTTGCCCTTTACAGCTGTTCTTTACTTCAGTAAACGCAAAACCCAAACTGATTCATTAAACAGGTGTTCCCTGCAATCCTATCACCGCCCATCACACTGGCTTTCGGCAACCATTGTCTATGTTCTGTATGAGTGGACCTTTCCTGTAAAAGGAACCCCATAGTATGTAATCCTTTAGCATGATTCCCCATGTTCATCCACATTGTAGAGTAAGACCATATTTGGTCTTATTATCCCATTGTATCAGTTGCTGTATGTTGTGTTTCTGTGTTTGTAGGGCATTTGTCTGTTAGGTGTACTTTTTACTTAGTGAAGTAAGGTCTCACTCTGTAGCCCTTGCTGTGTTGATAAGGGCCTGGTCTGGCTTTGAACTCAAACAATTCCAGCTGCCTTTGCCTCTCAGTTCTGAATCAAAGACATGGGCTGACATACCTGGAGAGTTGTGTACTTTGTGTGCTGTAGTTCATTGAAGGTTATTTATTTGTTTATCTATTCATTTTGTTGTTGTTTTTCAAGACAGGGTTTCCGTGTAGCCCTGGCTGTCTGGTACTCAGATCGGGCTGGCCTTGAACTCCGAGATCTGCTTGCTTCTGCCTTCCAAATGCTGGGATTAAACACACCACACCAGCAGGATTTTTATGTCTAAGGAACTATACTAAATTTTTTGTTTTCCTTGTGCTTATTGAACTTTTTTTTTTCCCTTGAAGACTTTGAGGATTATCCAATGAGAATATTGTGTGACCTTCACTCAGAAGTTCAGACTCTAAAGGTACTATTTTTCTTATTATCATTTTTCCATGGTGGGTGTGTAATTTTTTGTAGCTTAAGTTGTCGTGGGAAGAGATGACTAAGAGGCTTTTTGGAGGCTTTTTATTTGCTGGCACCTGACTGATTGGCACCATGATTGCACCTGAGAGTGCTCCCAAGATGCAGCATTTAGCCATATCAACCCAGGGCTTATCCAGACAAAAAACAAGGATTACAAGTATTTTGCCTTCTTGTAGACAGAGGCTAATTTTGACATAATTTGGTTTGCAGTTGTCCTCGTCATCTTTTTGAGCACAGTAAGCAAGCTTGGTTACAAAAGCAGAAATGGCAGGGAGTCTTGTGACTTTCTCCTGAGGAAAAACAAATTTTACAAGATCAGTTGATTTTAAGCGTGGCCGTAGTCTTGTGACCCTGTCCTGAGGAAAAACAAATTTTACAAGATCAGTTGATTTTAAGCGTGGCCTTCAACGTCTGGGGAGAGAGGGAAGTGGGCAACTAGGGTACAGCCTGTACAGTCTAGGGACTCACATGTTGGAGGCTTTTTTTTTTTTTTTTTTTTTGGTATCTCAAGTGTAGTAAGTCTAAATCTTAAACACAATGATAACCACAAAGTACATTAGATAATGTGACTATATTTGCTCTCCTCCCAAAAGGATGATGTTAATACTCTGCTTGATAAAGCAAGATTGGAAAGTCAAGAAAGCACAAGATTCATAAAGGCAACAAAAGTACTGATGAAAAAAAATTCCACAGACATCATGAAACTAACAGAGTTTTTCCAGAAGTATGGCTATCAGTCACGAGACAAAGAAGAGTCAGGTTTGATTGACTTTCATTTCTTAGCATCAGTGTGGAAGAAGGCAGAATGATTGAGGCTCGACTTGGGCCTTTAGTTCTGTCTATCAGGCTGTTTGGTGAGCATTCAGCACTCTGTGCCAGTCAGTGGTACACTGAAGTAGTCCCGTGTGGGTCTTGAATTTGAGGGACCTCTTCGAGCTAACCTGACACAGAGTAAGACTTGCAGCAAGAAATAAAACTGCTCTTGCTCTCCTTTCTGTAGTGCTGGATGAAAGTGTCTTTGAGCCATTTAAAATGGAAACGGGTGTCTAGTTATCTCTGCCAGTAAGTAGCTGGAGAACCACTGGGTTCTCTGGTTTCCCTTACATTCAGATTCCTCTGCTGCAGAACAAGGTGCTTGGGTTATATAAACTGATAAAGTGCTTTTTTGACTGCACACTTATAATAAAGGATTGGTTAGTCATGGTGGCTCAGCAAAGCTGCACACGCTTGTAGCCCTAGGAGCCAGAGGGAGAAGGGTTACCAGTTGAAAAGTTATTACTCAGAGCATAATAACTGACCTTGCTCCTCCAGTGTAAGGTGGGAATATTTAATACATCTACTTCATGAGGTTGCATATAGACCAGTTAAGAGCTGAGCATTTTGCAGCCCTTTGGAGGCCCAGGCACAAAGATCACTTGATGGAGGCCAGCTGGTATGTTTGTTGCTCAATGTTAGTGCTGTTGCTGTCATTCTGCCCATATCCCTGAGTGGCTGGCTTTAATATGCTTCAATGTCTTGGTCTTTTATGAAGATGATCTTTATATGTAAGGAAAGCATTCATGAAATCCAACAAGTATATATGTGTGATAAGTATGTTAGCCGACATGCTATACTAGAATTCAGTTTAATTTGGAAGTTAGAAAATGTGTAATAAAATCTGCTTTTCTCCTTAAATAATCATAGATTCAAATTCTCCTTTTCTTTTGCGCTTAGGCACCTAAAAGTTAAGTCGATGGCTGGCAAGATGGCTCTGGGTAAAGGGATTTGTTACCTAACCTGACAATAGTCATCACCATGACTATTGGCACACACCATGTACCCTATGGTACACACAAAATAAACAAAATGTAATTGAAAATTTTTACAAAATTAAGTCTAAAATCATATTGTTACAGTTTGTGTTAAATCTAAAACAAAGTTGATTATACACCAGTTTCATACTAATAATACTTTCAGAAAACACTAAGACTGATAAATAAATCATATTGAGGAATAAGAAATTGGATTTTATTTGTGGGTATTGGCTTTTCAAAGCAGATTGGTTTAAAGTGTCTAGATGGAATACAAGTAGGTAAGATATACATATATCAAACTTTTGAAATGAAAGCTTCAAAGAATCAAGATTTCACTGACATGGAATATTTGGGGTGGGCTATTCTGTGTTTTAATGATCAAGAGATTTTCTGTCTTGATGTCTGGCCAGAATTTACCTCTTCGACTTTCCTTCCCAGGATGTGAGCACAAAGTCAGTGACTCAGCCTCGGAGTTGGATGTGTGTGAAGACCTTCAGATGCCTGGTGTGGAGGGTGATCTGTCCGATCCATGTGTTCCAAGCAGTTCTGTTTCTGAAAATCTCCTACTACGCAGCCCACAGCTTTCAGATTTTGGACTTGAGCGGTACATGGTCTCCCGAGTCCCAAACCCCCCTCCCCAGGCAGCTGACAGCCTTAAAGAAGGGTCCGTATCTGAAACTCCTCCCTCCAAAGACTCTTCGGTTACAGTGATAAAGACTCCCAGGTGTGCTCTAAAGATGGATGATTTCGAGTGTACAACTCCTAAATTAGAACACTTTGGTATATCTGAATATACTATGTGTTTAAATGAAGATTATACAATGGCACTTAAAAATAGGAAGACCATCAAAAGGTAAGCAACTTGAAATTAAAGGTTTAATTTTGTGATTTTTTTTTTTGTCTGTTTTTTGTTTCGAGACAGGATTTCTCTGTTTAACAGCCCTGGCTGTCACTCTAGACCAGGCTGGTCTCGAACTCACAGAGATCTGCCTGCCTCTGCCTCCGGAGCGCTGGGATTAAAGGCATGCACCACTACCAGACTATTTTTGTGAGTTTTAATTACATGTGTGGGTGTGTGCTGGTGAGTGCAGGTGCCCTCAGAGGTATTGGATCTCCCCTTGGGGACTGGAGGTACACACATTTGTGAGCTGTCTGATGTGGGTGCTGGGAACTGAACTCCGGTCCTAGATGAGCCGACTCTCCAGCCCCTTGAGAATATGTTTGTTAATTCTTTGAAAACTTTATGCAGTGTTTTACTTATCTTCCTCCTAATTCCTTTAGCTCCCTCCCTCCCTCCCTCCCCCAACTCATGTCCTTTTTTATTTAAATGACCCACGAAGTCTGATTTGTGCTGTCCCTATACTGCTGGAGCACAGTCCACCTCCCCACGCCACACCCTTAAAGAAAACAGATAACACAGTGCCTGTAGCTCCTCTGCCAAGGGAGGGACTTTGTGACCTCCTTCCTCCTCCATGTTGGGATTTTGTGTCCTTACCTTGTGCATTCTGTCAGAACTGTTGTGAGTTCATATGTGCAGCTGCCTGTTGTGTCAGGAAAGCGCTATTTTAAGTAGTCATCTACCACCCCTGGCTCTTACAGTCTTTCCATCTCTTCTTCCAAGATGATCCCTGAGTCTTGGGATGACGTCCCATTTAGGGCTGAGCACTCGGTATAGTCTTTTACCCTCCCCATGTTGACTGTGGATCTCTGTTAATGGTCATCTACAAAAGGAAGCTTCTCCAGGCCGGATGTGGTGGCTCACACCTTTAATCCCAGCTCTTGGGAGGCAGAGGTAGGCTGATCTGTCAAGAAAGCAAGGCCATCCTGGTCTATGTAGTAAGTTTCAGGACAGCTGGGACTGTGTTGAGAGACCCTGTCTCAAAGAACAAAACAAAAGCAAACAACAAAAATGAAGCTTCTATGATAAAGATTAAAAGAGATGCAATAATCTGGCTGGGTGTAGTAGTGCATGCCTTCAATCCCAGCACTCAGGAGGCAGATCTCTGAGTTTGAGGCCAGCCTGGTCTACATAGCAAGTTCCAGGGTAGCCAGGACTACATAGAGCTTGTCTTTAAAAAAAAAAAAAAAAAAAAGTTGGGTGGGCACACTAATCTGTGAGCAGTGTCATTAAGCTTCAGTTTAATACTATGTCCCTGTGTCAGAATTAATAATAGTTTCTCCCCCAAGATCTATCTAGCCATGGGTACTTGTCACTTCTGTCTTGTGTATCAGGCTGTAATTGGAATTAGAAAGTGGTTTGCCCAGTGGTAGTGACACACGCCTTTAATTCTAGCACTCGGGAGGCAGAGGCAGGCAGATCTCTGTGTGTTCGAAGGCTGTCAGGTCTACAGAATGAGTTACAGGACAGCCAGGACTATAGAGAACCCTTGTCTTGGAAAACCAAAGAAAGAAAGTTATTTCTGAAACTCCAGTGGGCATATGTCATGTGTAATGTGTGGGAGTCTGAAACTTCACTGGCAAATAACTCCAAAAGGTAACCTGTTCCAGGCACTGGGCTTTTTAATCTAATAGTTTTTGGTGTCTTGGGGATGGCACCATTGTTCCTGTTTATAGGATAGCTCCATTCATACTCTACATATGTGTGTATGTTTTAGGAAGCTTCTATAGTAGTAGGTCTCCATGACTTTTTCACAAAGATTTTTAGTGTTGTCCCACTTTCCTGCCCTCATTCCCCACCCCACTTAATCCTTCTTACTCCATTATACACACCCTCACTTCCACACCACACGCACATACACACAGGTGCTGCATCCATTCCACATACAAGAGAAGATGTGATATTTGTCTTTCAGAGTCTGGGTACCTCGTTCATTATCTGTTGCCAGTTGGTGAACTTGTAAGATACTTCCATTTCCTGATGTCATGAATAAAGCAACAATGAACATAGTTGAGCAGGTATCTCTGAAGTAGACATAGACTCTTCTGGGCACATGCCCAAAAGTGGTATAGCTGAATCACATGGAGGATCTATGTCTAGCTTTATGTGGAACCTACACACTGATTTCCATTGTGGCTGTACCTGTTTAAACTCCTACCTGAAGGAAAAAAAATGTGTTCCCCCTTCTCTGATATCCATGCCAGCAAAACTTCGGGTTTTGTGTCGGTTGAGTTTGTGTTGTTGATTTTGAGTTAGGGTCTCTCTAATCCTGGAAGGCCCAAAATGCAGAGATTCCCCTACCTCTGCCTTCTGAGTGCTGAGATTAAAGGTGTATACCGACACACCTGAGTGGTGTCCTTTTTTTTTTTTTTTTTTTTTTAATCTTGGCCTTTGTGACAGGGTAAGATGAGCTGCTCCTAATGTCTGTGCCAGGAACTGAACTGGGGTCTTCTGGAAGGGCAGGAAACACTGAGCCATCTCTTGAAGCGTTAATCTACATAATCGTAGTCAGTAAAAGCCAGAAGTCAAATATTTGGGGTAAAGACCCAGAAGATAACAAAACCCGGAGCAGCTGCCTGTTGCATCTTCTCTCATTCCTCAGTCAAAAAACTCTGAGATCCTGTCTGCACCTCACCTTATCACTTCCTGTCTCCAACTCCCGAGTCCTGGGATTAAAGGCATGCGCCACCACTGCCCAGCTTCTATGGTTAACTAGTGGCTAGCTCCACCCTCTGATCTCCAGGCAAGCTTTATTTGTCAGAACACAAACAAAATATCACACAACAGTCTCTCCTGCCAACTTATGTAAGGAGTTCAGCTATTTCATATTTTAAATCTCTTGAATCACTAATTTCATCAATGAAGCATAAGCTATTGATCTCTTAAGTAATGATAGACACTGCACAGTGTTCTCTCCTATGTATTTGTGTAATTGGACAAGTCAACTCCCCACCCCCACCCCACCCTGAGACAGGGTTTCTTGTCCTTAAATTCACAGAGATCAGCCTGCCTCTCCCTCCGAGTACTGGCATTAAAGGTGTGTGCCACCAAGGGCAAGTCAATCTTAATAAAATGATAGATTCAGTCTTTTTACTCTAAAATAATGGCAGATTTTTAAAATTTTAATTTTATTTTGTGCGTTTGGGTGTTTTATCTGAGTATATTACTGTGCACTTGGTTCATGCATGGTGAAAGAGGATGTCAGAGCCCCTAGGATGGGAGTTAGGAATTGAATCCTGATTTTCTGGAAGAACAGCCAGTGCTCTTAACCACACTGAACCATCTCTCCAGCCTCCCTCACCCCCGATTTATTATTGGGCTTCAACAATTTTGCTTTCTGTCAGACTAATAAAAAATAAATCTTGCCAGGCCAGGCAGTGGTGGCACATGCCTTTAGTCCCAGCACTTGGGAGGCAGAGGCAGGAGGATTTCTTTGAGTTCCAGACCAGCCTGATCTACAGAGCAAGTTCCAGGACAGCCTCTAAAGCCACAGAGAAACCATGTCTCAAAAAACCAAAATAAATAAATAAATAGATAAATAGATAAATAAATCTTGCCACACTAGGTTATTAATGAAGTCTTGCTAACTTACTGCATTTCCATACTCAGTAAAGTCCACAGATTTCCTTTAAGTTAGAGGTTGTTAATCTGCTTCAGGACTATCAAGCAAGGAATCACCTGTTATCGCTTGAGTGCTAGGATTGCATGTGTGTGCCTCCACACCTTGCTTTATGTATTTGTATATTTTAAATAAGTATGTCTACTTTAAATATTTAAAGTAAAAATATGTGTATCAAATATATTATTTTAATGATTTCTTCCATTGGTCTTTTTCATAAACCAAAAATCAAAAATGAACTACCCCAGACTGAAAGATAGATGACGTTTTTCTGCAAAGATTGACTGTTTTTTTTTTTTAAAGATTTTATTTATTTATTATGTATACAACATTCTGCTTCCATGTATATCTGCACACCAGAGGAGGGCACCAGATCTCATAATAGATGGTTTTTGAGCCACCATGTGGTTGCTGGGAGTTGAACTCAGGACCGCTGGAAGAGCAGTGGGCGCTCTTAACCGCTGAGCCATCTCTCCAGCCCCACAAAGATTGAATGTTAACTCTTGTTCCTTTACAGCTCCCCTCTGAATAGTGCCAGTGGAGAGGCCATAGGGACAGAGCCTGTGACCAAGGAGAATTCTTTTGCCATTCCTGGTTTCGTAGTCCAGCAGCTAGAAAAAACTGGTGAGTTTAAAAATTAACTTCTCCTTTGTACTCTTTTCTGGTTAACTTTGTACAAAACACCAATGAACAAAATTTAATCATTTTTATTTTATGTGTATTTTGCCTGCATGTATGTCTGCATACCACATATGTGCCTGGTGCTTGTTGAGATCAGAAGAGGGCATTAGATCCCTGGACCTAGACTTACAGGTCACTATTAGCTGCCATGTGGGTGCTCTGGAATTCAAGTCCTCTGGAAGAACAGCCAGTACTTCTAACCACTGAGCCATATCTTCAGCTGTCATTTTATCCTTTAACTTTGAAATCTTTGAGTTCTTTTCACATTATTGGCAAGTGTTTAAAACTGTCTATCATCTTTGCAAAGTTTTGCACTTACTTTTTAGAAAAAAAAAAGTGCTAATTTCATGACATGTTATTAATACGCACTGCTGGTAAAAGCAAGTTTAAAAACATAACTGGCCCATACTCGTGGTAACTATAAGGAAGAACATGATTGTATTAAAGAAGTACTACTTGTGGGCTGGAGAGATGGCTCAGTGGTTAAGAGCACTGACTGCTCTTCCAGAGGTCCTGAGTTCAATTCTCAGCAAACACATGGTACCTCAAAAATGGGATCTGGTGCCCTCTTCTGGCCCGCAGCTGTACATGCAGGAAGAAAACACTGTGCATAATAAATAAGTAATTATTTTTTTAAAAAATACTAGTTCTTTAAAGAAAGAAAACAGGCTCATTAGTATATCAAAAGGAAAACATTGGTCATGGCAGGCACAGAAGAGCTGCCTGCCAAGATACTTTTTATTTTATTCTTTTTAAAATGTGTATGGGTATTTTGTCTGCATGTATGTCTATGCACCGTGTGCATTCATGTCTGGTACCCTCAGAGGCTAGGAAAGGATGTTGGATCCCACAGGACTGGAGTTACAGATGGTTGTAAGTTGCCATGTAGGTTCTGGGAATTGAACCTTAGTTCTCTGGAAGAACAGCCAGTGGCCTAACCACTGAGCTATCTCTCCAGCTCTCAATATGCTATTTAAAAAAAAATGAAATTAGGGCTGGAATATGCACAGATATCCATGCAGACAAAACACACACATAAAAGTAAAATCAATAGAGTATAAGTTTGGTTTTTTTTTTTTTTTTTATTTTTTTAAGTATGGCTGGGGAGATAGTTCACTTGGTAAACGGTTTGCCACACAAACACGAGGACTGACTTGGGTTTGGGTTCCCAGAACCTGTATAAAAGTCCTGGCATGCTGATACGTGCATGTTATCGACAGCACTGTGGGAGGCAATGACAGTTGAACCCTTCAGGTTCAGTGAGAGACTGTCTCAAAAAACAAGATAGTGGCTGGGCCTGATGGTGCACACCTTTAATCTCAGCACTCGGGAGGAGGCAGAGACAGGTGGAGCTCTATGTTTAAGGCTATCCTGGTCTACAGAGTGAGTTCCAGAACAACCAGGGTACATAAAGAAACCATGTCTTGAAGCAAAACAAATAAAATAGAAAGATGGGGTGCAATGAGGAAGACACTTGATGTCTGCCTCTAGCCTACACAGTCAGTATACACTGAAACATACTTGTGCACTCACCACACGAAGTATTACACACCACTCACTCACCCAAAAAAGATAAAAGAGAATATGTTTATGTGTTTGGACAATGTCTCATCTTGAGTCTTTGAACTCACAGCAGTCCTCTGGCCTCAACCTCTGGGATACAGGCTTGAACCACCATGTCCACTTAAAATATATTTTTTTAAGATTTATTTTTTATGCATATATGTGTTTTGCCTGCATTAATATATGTGCACTATGTATAGTACCTACAAAGGGCAGAAGATAGCTGGAATTCTGGAGCTCATGCTATAGGTGGTTGTGAGCCCTCATGTGGGTGCTCAAAAACAAGCCGAGGTCCTCTATAGGAACAGCAAGTGCTCTTAACCACCAAGCCACATCTTCAGCCTTATTTATTTATTTATTTATTTATTTATTTATTTATTTATTATGTATACAATCTATAGTCTTCTGCTTGCATGCCAGCAGAAGGCACCAGATCCCATTCAAGGTGGTTGTGAGCCACCATGTGGTTGCTGGGAATTGAACTCAGGACCTCTGGAAGAGCAGTCAGTGCTCTTAACCACTGAGCCATCTCTCCAGCCCCCTCTTCAAACCTTTCTCATCCGCCTCCACCTAGTTTTCCATAATAGTGAGGGCTTTGTGTATGAATGGTACTCCGGGCTTTGTGCATGAAAGGTACTATTTTATGTTAGGTTTTTTTTGTTTTTTTTGTTTTTTTGTTTGTTTGTTTTTTGTTTTGTTTTGTTTTTGAGACAGGGTTTCTCTGTGGCTTTGGAGCCTGGCCTGGAACTAGTTCTTGTAGACCAGGCTGGTCTCAAACACACAGAGATCCACCTGCCTCTGCCTCCCGAGTGCTGGGACTAAAGGCATGCGCCACCATGGCCTAGCGGTTTTAAATGAATTTATTAATAGTTATCTTTGTAGCTAATTTGATTTTTTTTAAATATTTTGATAGTAGGGACTGAACCCAGGGCCTACTATCCATAGGATCTAACAACTGAGTTAGATCCCCAATAATTTGTTGCTATTATATGTTACCTATTACAGTAGAATTCATTACTTTGTACTGTTCTTATAACATGCAACTTTTGTTAATATTAACGATATGTAATTTGACAGTTTTGGTTTTTCTTGTTCAGCCAAACCACACACCATATGTAGATTTTTAAAACATTACTAACAAAATATACAGGCTAAATTGACAGTGCTTTTAATTTAAAAAAGGAATATGGGGGCTCCAGAGATGGTTCAATAGTTAGGAGCACATACTTACTGCTCTTCTAGATTCAATTCCCAGCGCCACATCAGACACTCACAACCACCTCTAACTTAAAAAGTTGGAATACTTATTTCAACTTAATTTTTATGACTATTTTATGTCTTCTAGATACTGAATGCAGAAATTCACCATTGCCACCTAAACTCTGCACTCCTGGTTTGAAACTTCCTTCTACAGTAGACAGTACAGCTTTGGTAAAGTTTCACTGATGTTAAAAGCACCAATCTTCCGCCTTATGACTCAGACATTACTTCTGGACTCAGTGTCTGACAAATTAGACCAGTGCAGCTCTTAGGAATGGACGTGCAGTACATTCTGGGAGGTAGTTTAGCACCATAGATCAGGACCTGATATCATGTCAAAAAATGTGTTGGAGGCAAATTGAGACGGAGATAACAGTATAGAAAGAAGTACAGAAGTACAAATGGCTAGTGAGAAAGCAGAATGGATATAGTGAGCTTATCTAAGAGCTGATGCCAAGTATCTGTCACTGTCTAAAAACCGGATGAGACCAAAGGAATGTTTTCAAGAAATCTGATGTTCTTGAAGATAAACATATAGTTTAAGAAAAAAGAATGGGCCAGGTGGGGTTGTGGCAGCATACACCTTTAATCCCAGCACTCAGGAGGCAGAGGCAGGAGCATCTCTCAGAGTTTGAGACCAGCCTGGTCTACAGAGTGAGTTTCAGGACAGCCAAGGCTACACAGAGAAACCCTGTCTCAAAAACCTAAAAATGAAAGAAAAAAGAATGAGTAGAAACAGATCAAAGTTGTTCTCCTAGGTAACAAACAGATTTTTAAGTAATTTTTCCTTGTTAACTTATTTAACATAATCAAAACCTTCCTCATTAGTCAGGTGAGACAGCTGCTTTAGTAGACTTCATTAGAGCTAAATGAATAAAAGTTTATTTAAGCATTATTATTTACTTACCATAATTCAATTATTTATTTTCATTCTGTAGGTATATAAAAATTATCCATTGTCAAAACCAAATACTTCATTAAGCCATATGGAGGTTAAAGATTATGCTCCGTTAATTTTAAATTCAGATGAATGCTACGAGAGTTTTGCAGACCCCCCTTCTCCTACAATTACTTCTTGTGAGAATATCAGAACACCCAGTCCTCCAGAAGTCACTGCAATTCCAGAAGACATTCTCCAGGTTATTTTCCACACTTTTTTTTTCTAATATTTTTACAATTATATATTTGTGTTAGAGAATTTAAATTGCATATAACCTGTCATATTTACCATCAAACCAATGTGTGACTTGGTTTTAGTGATATTACTTCCATGAGGTATTTTCTCTTTAAGTTTGTGTTCTACAATTGGTTGTTTCTGTTAGTTTTTATCTGTGGTTGCTACATTGGCTATTTATTGTTCCTTTAAAATTAAAAATGTCATTTTTCCCTATAGTCATCATAGGGTGTCATTAATAACGTGTGTCTCCATTTCTCAAACTGTTTAGCATGATGATAAAATAGCTAACTGTAGTTGGCATCACCAGCTAGTAGATACTACTGACGGGTCTGACTCTGACTCTAATCCAGGTTATAGAGTTGGGCAATCAGTACTTACGTGCAAAGAATTCTAAGTGACTGTTTAGAGCTGTTCTGCCTCACAGGCAGCAATGAGAACAATAAACTGAGAAAAGACTTAAATACCAGTAGAACTGACCCAACCCTGAAATATCAACCAAGGATCTGTTAAATTTTTCTTTTTAACATTTTATTTTTAATTATGTGTATAATATACATGTGTGTCTTGCGGGGAAATGTGTACCTATCCATGAATACAGATGCCTGAGTGGTCAGAAGAGGGTGTCAGATCAGAGTTACAGGCAATTGTGAGCTGTCCAGACGTCGAGCTGAGAACTGAACTCTGGTCCTCTGTAAAAGCAGTGCATGCTCTTAACTGCTGAGCTGTCTCCAGTCCTTCCCCTTGACTGCTTGCTCTCTTAGGAGATAAACTGGAATGCCTGTCTTGGTGAGGATGTATGTAGGGGTTGTGGGTTTTCTTTGTCGTTTGCTTTCTTCTTTTTTTTTTTTTTTTTTTAAGATTTTATTTATTTATTATGTATACAGTCATCTGCATGCATGCTTGCACACCAGAAGAGGACACCAGATCTCATTACAGATGGTTGTGAGCCACCATGTGGTTGCTGGGAATTGAACTCAGGTCCTCTGGAAGAGCAGTCAGTGCTCTTAACCGCTGAGCCATCTCTCCAGCCCCGCTGTTTGCTTTTCTTAACTGTGCTGGGGAACAACACTGGGACTTGTGTATGGCACAGAAGCATGCTACCTTTTATTATACATGCCCAGTCCCAAGGACACCTTACATTCAATATGCTACTTCTAGTTTTTTCTTTTAATGTTTTATTAGCATATGTTAATTATATGAAGCAATAGGTTTCATGTTTTCTTCTTTTTGGTTTTTTTGAAACAGGGTTTCCCTGTGTAGTCCTGGCTGTCCTGGAACTCACTCTGTAGACCAGGCAGAGATCCATCTGCCTCCGAGTACTGGGATTAAAGGCATGTGCCACCACTGCCCAGCTTACATGATGAAATTTTCACACGTGTACATAATATATTTAGTTGATATTCACAGATGAACAAACACCCATTACCTTCTCTTGCCCCACTCCCATGGGTCTTTTCCCTTCCCAACTAGCCCCCTCTACTTTTATATTAAGAGAGAGGGGATGAGTGTGTCCTCAAATGAATTTCATTAAGCTGTTTTAGAAGCAAGAGTGAGGGTTTGTTTAGAAGTGTCTATGTCACTGAAGAAATGTCTCACCCTGCTCATTAACTCTAGAGACTCAGGGAGAGGTAGGGCCTGTGAGCTTCTCCCCCTCTGAGATGGGTGCTCATTTGCTCGTCTTGTATAGATGCAGTGCACATACTCACAGCGGTTGTTTACCTTCTCTTCAGTGCATTAGTCTCCGGTCATCTACACCATCAAGACTGAACACGCCTCTCATGATTCCATTAAATTTAGTAAATGTGTATTTAGATTTTAGACATCAAAATTCCATGTGAAGTTAATTTTATTTTGTTTGCTTATTCAGTTTCTGTATGTATGGACTGCTGACTTTTTTTTTTTAAGTATTTTAAGTAACCTTCATCTAATTGCTCATGGCTTTTGGGGGAGCAGAGTAGCGGTTTCCAGACAGAGTTTTTCTGTGGATTTGGAGGCTGTCCTGGAACTAGCTCTTGTAGACCAGGCTGGCCTCGAACTCAAAGAGCTCCTCCTGCCTCTGCCTCCCAAGTGCTGGGATTAAAGTCGTGCACCACCACTACCCGGCCTCATGGCTTTCCTTGAATGTTTATAACTCCTTCCAGATTTATCTCTTTTTTTGTTTGTTTCAGATATTAACAAAGCACAACTCAAACCTAGCTACTTCATTGGAGGTTAAAACGATGCCACTCAGGAAAGGCTTCCTCAAGTACGAGGGGCAGAGTATCCGAGGTGCTGCCAACAAGGAAAACTGGTGACAGTAAGGCGCCACCACAGAATGGTAATGGCAATTTCCCTTTTCATTTGCATTGCCAGTGCAGGTTAATGGCCTGGCTCCACCTGAGCCTGGAACTGGCCCTTGATCTCATTTCCAAATTATCAAATCTGCTTGTGTGGTAATGAATCCATTCCTAACTTCTGCTTTTAAAATTTTTTTATTATTAATTGTTGAAACGGGGTCTTACTCTATACCCTTGGCTGACCTGGAACTTGCTATATAGACAGGCTGGCCTCAAACCACACACCTGCCTACCTGCCTCAGGGTATGCCACCAGTCTCTTTTCTTTTAAAGATTTATGGTGTATGTGTGTAACTTTAAAATACTTAGCTACCATGTTGCCTTCTGTCTTGATGCCCTTATTTGATTTTGTTTGTTTGTAGGAATTCTAGTGTGGATACATCCAATACAGAAGCTGGACAGAAATGTAGAAGCAAAAGCTGGACTGAAGTTTTCAAAATTTTTTTAAAAATTTTAGCTGGTTAACACGGAGAGACCAGTGGAGGTGGAAGGAGCGCTCACTGCTGTCAGTCTTTTTTCTTTTCTGTTTTATTTCATTCTTACGTGAATGTTTCATTCCACCACACTATGTTGGCCTCTCCAGCTTCCATTTCTGCCTCCCAAGTGCTGGGATTAAAGGAGTTAGTTACCACCTCCCAACAGCTTTAGGAAATTTTGTGTGATATAAAGGTTATTCTGATTATGCATTGAAAATTAAGTGGAAGAATTCCAGGGTAATTGTGTTTGTATATTTTTTGTTACATAATATAAAATAGATGATTTTCAAAGAAAACTCTACCCCACTTTTTGTGTGCCCTTTTCACTACATGGCATTTGTGGCCGTGAGTCCACATAACTGAATGGGACTGCTGAAGGAGTGAAGAGTGGCCAGGGAGATGACTCCAGGTTTAAAGTGCTTGTTGCTCTTGCAGAAGGATCTGGTTTTGATTCCAGGTACCCACATGGTAGTTTACAACCATCTGTAACTCCATTTCCAGGGGATCCGATGCTTTCCTCTGACTTCCATGGGCACCAAGCACACACAGATGCAGTACACATACTATATACAAGCAAAGCACACATAGAATAGGTAAGTCTAATAAAGCTTTTAAAGAGTGGGAAGAGGAGAGTGTTCTAGCAAAGGTTGGGAAGAGGCCTAGTGACTCAGGAAGAAGTATTTTAGGCGGAGTAATCATTTCTTTCAGTGCTGCTGAGAATATGCAGGCTGAATTTTGTTAAGTTTGCCAAGGTTGATAACACTTTCAGACATGGTTTGGGGTGAACAGAAGAAAGAATGGAGGGAGTAGAGAGCCAACTGAGGCAGCTCTTTGGAGTTTTGCTAGGGTCAGTTAATAAATGGATGGGCTACAGGGAAAGACAAGATAGATGTTTCTCAGGGTTAGTGGTAGACTTTAGCTTAAGCTTGGCTTGTTTTGACCTTTCAGATTGTACAAAATTTGTTTCCCTGAGCTCCACCCTCAACATTTCCCTACTGTCCCTAGCTTGTCACTTAGAATGATGCTTCTAGCCCAAGCTGTACATGCTGTGGTCTTTCCAGGGTATTTTCCCACTGTTCTTTAAAGGAGATCTCAGATCTTTACTGTGGCCTAGGTGACTGCTCTCCTGCAATGTGTTCCTTAGCCTCACCAGTCTTCAGCTTCTGCCTTGGGGCTGACACGCTGGCTGCTCTGCCTAGAATGGTTTCTTTTTTCCTGCCAACTCTGCTTCATTCTCTTCTGTCTTCAAGCAGTTGACAGCTGACATTGCTTTCCTCCTCCACACTTGAGAACTTATGCTTGCTGGGCAGTGCTGGCACATGCCTTTAATCCCAGCATTCGGGCAGCAGAGACAGGTGGATTTCTGAGTTTGAGGCCAGTTACAAAGCTAGTTCCAAGAGAGCTACGGTTGTTACACAGAGAAACCCTGTCTCAGAAAACAAAAACCAAAAAACTTAGTGCTCAACCAAGCAGTATTGCAATCGCTGACAGTGCTGGTAAAACATGCAGAGGTACACCTGGAGCTATGCAGGGTGAGTCTACCTGGACAGAGTCCACACAGGCTCTAGCAAGATAAGAGTTTCCACTGTGAGCTGGTCTCAGGCCAGCGAGCTGTGCCCTCGACTTTCCATATAAATGATCATAAACCCCTGTGCTTTATGTTAGAGTCTATTATTGTCAACAATGAAGAGTACTGAAGGATTGGTTCCAGATATCCCAGCTCTTGAGTGCTGTATTGTCTGTCACACTAAGTAGAACTTGTACTATATATGAGTATAAAATGTTCACTTCCCATGTGGGCTACCCACTACACCCTTGGTTTCTGTGACCTTTGCCCTAGCCTTGTGTTTATTTAACTATTGACAGTGTCAGTTACCAAGATTTTTTTGTCAGTAACATTTGATTCTAAATGCTATTAGCCTATATAATTCTTACATATGAGGCATTTCAGATGAGGAAATTAAGACATTCTTTTCCTTGTGTTCTATTTTACACTGTTTTGCAAGCTCCGATGGTCTCTAAAATCTGGGATGTTCTCACCTTGGTTATATAATCTGAAATTTCTACCTCCTTTCCTTTAGTCCTTGCCAATAGTACATAAAAAATTGGGTGAGAAGCCAAGGGCGTTGCTTGTTTAATGTGAAGGACCCTGCATTTGATGCCTAGCACCACAAAAGCCCTTCATTTAACAGTCCTTTATCTGGAGGAGAAATGTCACCTCCCATTTTTGGAGATGGCAAGCTCACACTATCACTAGAATTGTACCACGTAGTTTCAGCAATTATTTCATGACACTTATTCTTTTCATCCTTAACCCCCCCACACCTGTCTCTGATCTTTGTATTTAATTTACCTGTTGTCACTGCTGGAAAGCTTGAATGGAGTGAATTAGAAACACTGCAAGTTTTCAGCCAGTTTCTAAGTACTTTCGCAAAGTTCACCTCATTCATATTCAAATTATTCCAGTTGGTTAAAACCAGACCTGTAAATCCAATAGCAGGATGGTCAGTTCAAGGCCATCCTGATCTACATAGAGTTCCAGGACTACAGTAGAGATACCATCTCAAAAGTTTTTATTTACGTTACTGTACATGAATTTCCCTGGAAGTGTTAAAAGCAGCTGAATAGGGTTAGGACGTCCGAGCACCCAAGGTGCAGAGCAGAGGTTGCAGGCAGTGCTTCCCTCTTTGAAAATAACTGACACTGAGCCTTGTGCCAAGTCGAAGTCACCTGGCTATGCAAGCCAGTCAGTGGAAGTGGAGGCAGGCAGATCCATGAGTTCAAGGCCAGCTTGGTTTACAGAGCAAGTTCCAGGACAGCCAGGGCTATGCAGCAGAACCCTGTCCAAGAAACAAAACCAAAAAGTTTCACCACAGCACCCTTCCAGGGTAATGACTATGTTAACATTCCCAGACAAATTACTAAAGTGATTTAAGTGTTTACTATTAAAAATGCTTTGTGCTGGGTATGGTCCCGCATGCCTTTGATCCCAGGATAGAAAGCAGAGGCAGGTAATATCTCTAACAATAAGTCTTTCCGCCAGGCCGCCCTAAGTTCCGCCCACCGCCACGTTAAGGTCCCAAGTAACACAAACAGACTTATATTAGGCACAAATGCTGCTTAGCCAAATGACTAGGATTTCTCATCTGCTAGCTCAGTCTTAAATTATCATAAACCTGTTTATTTTATAAGACTTATCAGACGCCAGCAGCAAGCGTCCTGTCTTGCCGGGCTCACATGGTTACTGTGCTTTCTCCTACCTTTCCCAGAATCCTTTTTGACTCCTAGTCCCACCTATCTTGTTTTCCTATTGACCAACAGTACTTTATCAACCAGTAAGACAATCATATACACAGGACACCCCCCCCCCCCAAAATCAGATCTATGAATTCTATTCTCAAAAACAAGGGCTACGGAGAACACTTGCTGCTTCTGCAGAGGACTGACTCCATTTGGTTCCCAGCATCCACATGCAGCCTTACTAGGTGTCTGCAATGCCAGTTCTGGGGGTCTGAAACTACCCTCTGACCTCTGAAAGGCCCATGCATACACCCAAAATAACAAAATTATGTCAAGTTGCTCTTTGGGCTAGTGAGATGGCTCAGTGGGTAAAGGAGCCTTTACCAAGTGTGACCACCTGAGTTTGATCCTGGGGACTCAATGGTGGAAGCAGAGAACCAACACCCAAAGTTGTCCTGACTCATAGTCCCTTCCTCCAAATAAATACTTGTAATTTTATCTTCGGTTTTAGCTTACTGCCCCTAGGGATTTCCTTATTTGGGGGAGAAAAGAATCCAGTGATTTTGTCTTCAGAGAATGGTTACCTGGTCAAGATTAATCCTAAAAAATACTTTTAGCTTATTTCATTGCCAACCCTAGGAAATCACAGCCATTGACAAGTGTTTAAGACAACAAACCAGACAGGCAGTCATTCTACTGCTCTTAACCACCTTTAAGGTGGAAACTATAGCCAAGTATTTTAAGATTGGAGTTTGTAATTGTGTATGAATTCAGTAAGGCAGGGTCAGGTCAGTATTTCAAATGCCTGCCCTGAACTCAAGCAAGTACAGCCTTACCAGCCAAGAGTCAGTCCCCGCACCGCAGCCGAGGTTTTTAGGCGGTACTTGGCAGTATGTTCTGTACAGTCCTGGCACACACAGCTAAGCTGTCCTATACAAGCTGGAAAGTGGTAGAACAAATCCAGTTCTTCATGTCAGAGAATAACTATTTAGCTCTCTTCCTCCTCCCTTGCCCTTCACACACACATCAGCATGACTGACCTGCTCTGCCATCTCTCCTGCCCTGCAGGTCCTACTCTAAAGCTTTTACAGCTTTCCAGCACTTCACAGGACTGCTTCCTTCCCTCTCCCTCCATTCTCAGCTCTTCAAGGTAAACCTTGATTGAACCTTAGGCTTTGGCTCATTTCTTCTCTTCAACACATGCATGGTGCTATAGTCAGGAGTGGGTCAGATCCCCTAGGACTGCAGTTAGAGTTGTGAGCCATCATGCAGATGTTGGGTGGGGCCTGGGTCCTCTGCAAGAGTAGCAAGTGTTCTTAAACTGAGCCGTCTCTCTAGCTCTTGCCACCTATTTTATTTTGTTATTTAAGCGAGCCAAGCTTTTCCAACACAAGATGGTTTTTTCAACGTCTTATTCACACACGCCTATAGTCTAATACCACAAACTGACTGTACCATTTTATACAACCCCATGGCTTTCTTGTTCTGCCTCTTGAGGGCTTAAAATGCCCTCATGGTTGAGACTCTGTTCCCAGGTCTCCATTAACTTCACACCTGGGCTAATTGCACACATGTATTTCACAACAGTTTTACACAGAATGCTAAGAGCACTTTTCGTATTTTACAGGAGGACTTAAAACATACAGACTTTAATATACCAAAGTACATCCAACTCTAATTCCTAAATAAATGTGTTACAATTTGCTTAAAATTTAAAGGCTTAATGGCAAGGTTCAAGGGAGGAAAAGATTAAGTTTATTTTACAAACTGGCTGAAAAATAACTTGAAGAAAGTCAATAGAATTTAGTACGGTCTCATCCGTCCTGAAGGAGGTGCTCGATTTGGAGGAGTGATGGCTATGTCCAGATAATCCCCTATTTGGAACTTCTGTGACTGCAGGGTCATGGAGTCATCAGTGCCCTTCCTGCCAGACATGGTGCTGCCAATCTCCTTAACTCTGCAGTGAAGGAAATCAGCCGTTAATAGACTAGAACTGCATCGATGGAACAGTATAGACTACAGAGAACATGAAATGGTCTCTACACAACAGATTTCCAGAATTTAAGCACTACATTCAAGCTAAGCCAGATCTGAATATAAGCCTATAGACACCACCACTAAAGAGAGTATCCTAAAGCCAGGCATGGTATCATATGATATGCCTATAATTCCAACACTGAAGCCTGAAATAGACTGATAACTTCATCTTGTCAGAAAAGGGTCCTGCAAACTCCAGAGAGTACAGAAATAGTAACAAGTCACCTACCGATATCCAGGTCGTTTAAGATCCATAAAAACAATTGCAAAATTGAAGTGTGTGCCCTTCTTTCTGGCTTCTGGGTAGACTTCCTTTACTAAACTAGTCAGTTCTTTCAAGGTTGCATCCATCCTAAGGTTTTTGAAAAGATAATACGATTAATAAACATTAGTGTAACAGGGACATAAAAAACAGCAAGTTGTACATCCTTGAGTTGTATTCCAGGGCCTCACACTATATGAATTACCCACAAGATGGCCTGGCAGGGAAAAGGCAATTTGTGGCACAATCCTGGCAAACCGTGTCAACCCAAATAAAGGTCAGGAGAGTACCAACTCCACAGTTGTCCTCTTGACCTCCTCAAGCATTTCATGGGATGTGGGCAAACACACACAAGTAATAATTAAAAAATTATTTGCCTCTGAATATTTCCTGTGCTGGCCTCAATGCTAAAAATATCAATAACTCTTACTGCAAGAGTTTAAGGAGATTCCCACATAACCACTTCTGAAGCTACACAGCATCATCTGGCTCAGTGATGTACTTACCCACAAGTAACCAGTCCAAGTTATTCAACTGCACAAATTAACTGTTTAATTTCTAAGATATATAATCTCATACAATGCAGCCTCTAAAACTAGAATGCATCTTAGAATCAATGTGCTGGGATAGCATCTTCATAAGGATATGAAATTTCTTATTCTCTAATAGAATCTTGATGGAGGCAGGCAAGAAGGCTTAGCAAGTATCATTGCTTGCTGCCAAGCCCGATGACCTAAATTCGATCCATGGAGCTCACATGATAGAACAGAGAAGTAGCCTGTCCTCTGTCCTCCACACATGTACCATGACACTCCCATACACTACATATACACAGAAAAGTGTAATGAAAATTTGCCAGTGAGATGGCTCAGTAGGTAAAGGCACTTGCTGCACAAGACTGTTGTCCCAAGTTCAATCCCCAGAATTCTTAAGTAAATGTGGAGAGAAAATATCCCAAAAGATGCCCTCAGCCCTCTACAAGTGATGTAGTACTTGCACAGTGCACAACACAAAATAATAAAAAATGATTTTTAAAACTTATGTGGAAAGTTCATTGGGGGAAGGGAAGGGAGAGTGGGGAGAGAGACAAAGACAGAAAACGGCAGGAAGAGAACAAAAAAATGATTTATTTATTTTTTTTTTTAAAGATGGAATGAATCCTAAAGCCAAGGACATGAAATTTTGGGTCCTTTTACAACACAAGCCATTAACTTAAAAATTCTTATCTAAACAGAAACAGAGGAGTGGATGGGGGGGGTGGCAGAAGGCAATGCAAGGAGAGGAGTGAGGGGAAACTGCAGCTGAGATGTAAAATAAATACAACTTAAAAAAACTTCTGAACTCAGAACTAAAAATAGTCTTTTGGACTAATATAACACAATCTAGAACAAAGGAACTGAAAATGTAAACATTTTAGCAATGTTTTAACAACCTCGTTCACATATTGTTTTTGCTCATAACAACAAGAAAAGTGAAATGCAAGGTCTAAACTTAAAACAGCATTTTGTGCAAAGTGCTGGGGGAAAATGGCAGAACACTAGACACTTGAGAATTAGAACACTGATGTAACAGCATCAAGGAAAAGAACCAAAGAGCCCATTGCATTTCTACTGTGAACTGTACAATCAATTTCCACACCACCATATTCAAATACATGGAGTGAAAATACCAAAGATGACCAACCACACTGTCCTCCATTTTCTATTCCAAATATTTCAATATTCCTGTAATAGAATTTGCTCTTCCAGAACATGCCCTTCTGCTAGTCCAATTTAATTAAAAAAAAAAAAATACCACCACCCTAGTTAAAGCTGTCGAAGTCAGGTTCTTGTTCCCAAGTTCTTGTTCCCAAGCAACGTACTACTGAGCTACACCCTCAGCTCCAATCTATAAACTGCTGTGAAGTGCCACCTGTTGTCACCTCTAGGGAAGGGTCTCACTGCATGAACAGTACAGCCCAGCATGCCAATGCCTGACACCTGATAAGTCCCAGTCTGTCAAGCTAATAAGTGACTTATAGGTGTCATAGTCACCAAGAAAGACATTACTTGTATTATCATACTTTGCTCACAAAGATACAAGCTCAGCAAAGGCTCACCCAAGCTGGCATTCCTCCATTGCTACAGGCATGGCCACCTGTTTCCTCCCCACTGGGAACAAACAGAGCAGTGGTAAACACAGTTAAGCAGAACAAAGAAGTATGTATACAAACCAAAAACAGGAAAAGATATTTCTAGAAATAAGCTGGAAGGTCTCCCTTATCTTTTGCCACGGCAATGTTCCAGACCAAAGGCCATTTTATGCATTGCAAGAATGCATACATATTACTTTTCTAGAATGCAATGAATTATAGCCCAATCAAAATATAACCAGTGCTATTAACATCACTGTGGACCTCTCTGCACATGTATGCAATACAGAATTAAAGAGGGATTTTGGAAAAGATTTATTTTTTGTTTTATGTATATGAGTACTCTACTTGTATATATATGTATGTGCACTGTGTGTGTGCCTAGCGTCTATGTGGGCCAGATGGGTGCTTTGGATGACACTATAGCTAGAGTAACAGGCTGCTGTGGGCTCCCTAACATGGGTGCTGGGAACTGAACTCTGGCCCTCTGTGAGCACTATTATCCACTCAGATCTCTCTCCAGAACCTAAAACCCATTTTTTTTTCTTTTTTCAAAATGGGGTTTCTCTGTGTAACACCCTGGCTATCCTGCTGTCCTGGAACTCACAGGATTCACCTGCCTCTGCCCAAGTGCTGCAATTAAAGATGTGCACCACCACCACCTTGAGGCCTAACTAAAAAACAAATGTTTAAGAGATATCACGGGGGTTGTGAGGAGTGGTGCTGAAGAGCTGTCGTGGCAGTTAAGAGCACCTGACGCTCTTGCAAAGACCTTGTTTCAATTCCCAGCACTGACATGGCAGCTCACAACCATCTGTAACTCCAGTTCCAGGGACCCAACACCCACTTCTGACCTCAGTGGGCACCAGGCATTCATGTGGTACACACACATACATGCAAGCAAAACACCCATACACATAAAAAAAAAATTAAAAATTGAAAAAAAATCATATTGAAACTATGACACAAAAATATACAGTTCATCCTATGTATATTTCAAGTAAAATCTTATTTTCTCAGATAACTGTAGTTCACTGTGTAGTCAAGTGAGCGGTAAAACGTCAGAAATAACAACTCACACTATTACCTTATGTAATTTTGCAGGTGAGTTTTACTTTGTCAGAATTCATATTCTATTCTGCAATTAAATCTGAAATTTTAAATTTTGCCTCCAGTGAACTTCAAGGCTGGCATAAACTCTGAGGTGAGATAACGAACTTTCTTTTGTTTTGAGGCGATCTTTTAAAAACTAAATAAACTTACAGTCCGGGTGGGCCTGAATTTATCAGCCAAAGTCCTAAGGGGACATCCTGAAAGATGGGCACAGGTTCTAAGTAAACACTACATTCCTTTTTTAAAATAAAAACTGTGAATTTTGCAAGATTTTGATATCCCCGTGATTCTGGAACAATCTCTACAAATATAGATAACCCTGTTTGAAAAGCTCATCACTGTATAGAGAGGCAGTATGTTATATCCTCAGGATATAAGGAAAGTCCTGGCAAGTTGGAAATCTTATTTGTTGGGAGACATGAATAGTTGTTTTTGTTTGTTTGTTTGTTTGTTTTGGGGGGAGGTTGAGACAGGGTCTCTGTGTAGCCCTGGCTGTTGTGGACTTCATCATGTAGACCAGGCTGGCCTCGAACACTGATCCACCCGTAATAAGAAATGACCGCTCGCTTAACAGGTGCAGAATTTATAGTATTGAGGTGTGTGGAAGGATTTTAGAAGTAGACGTCGCACAACTTTGAAAAGTTAAAGTGGCAAATTTCGTGTTGTTTTACCACTACAAATATAAGTTTTTACCGCTCTTCAAAAGCCATTGCGATGTTAACCCAACACAATATGAAGGAAACGTTTGTATGGTCCTAGCTGAGGCGGCAGCAAGGCAGTCAACGCAGAGATAAAACGTGTTAAGTCGTCTTCACTAAACCACCACCACAAGAGCCTAAATTTACACCATGGGCCAGAGCAGAAAGGACTGGGGTTTGCTGGCGCTCTTTTAACTTGTGGTGCTGCGATACTCGAGGCTTCTTCATACCGCCAGCG